GTGTTTACAGTTGTTAAAAATTGGAAACAATCTTAGTTACAATGGAAGATTGGTTAAGCTAATTATAGAATATTCTTAAGATGAAGAGCCATTCTAAATTATGGAGAACCGATTTTTACGTTGGAGAATGTTTCCCATACTTTTTTTAAGTTTAAAACACGAGTGATTAAAAAGTACATAAATGAAAGTAAGACAGAAAAAATCATGTTATTTAATAAGCAATTTCTGTGTACTTGTCACTGTTCTTATTGCTTTTTGCTGATTATTTCACAACAACTGCTGAGATATGTATCCTTTTTTTTTTTTTAATTCACACTTTACAGATTAGGAAACTGAAGAAGAGAGGAGTTATGTAACTTATCCAAAGTTACCCAGCCACTCTGAGGCAGAGCCAGAATTTAAACTCACTTCATCTGCCTCTAAGGAGTCCCAAACTTCATCCAATACACTATGATCCTATTTTCATAAGATAAATATTTATAAAAGTACATTAAAAATTAGAGATCTGTTTGTTAAAAAATGGAATATTGTAAAAGTTACTTTTTTTTTTCCTTTTTTTAAGCTATTTTTGTAAATTGTACACCATTCTTACAATTAGTAAATATTACTTTGTAAAGACAGCTTCTATTTCAGGGAGAGGAGTTGATAATACATTTTGGGTACAGCAGGGTTTTCTGCCTTTACCAAAGTTCAGTGCTGGGTTTTGGATTCAGGCAATGGGTGGGTTGGATTGCCTTGCACAGAGAAAGGTGAGTTGTATGTGGAGGGCTGGGGTGATGAGTTCAGTGCTGCCTCTACTGGCTGGTGGTTGACTGTGTCAGGGCAAACAGTGACCTTATGGGCTTTTCAATCTCTCGTGCTGTTTGTAACTCCTGCGGTGGTAAACAGGCGTGTTTCCAAGTGGGGATGTGAATAGAATCACTACCAAGTAAAGGATATTTACTTTTCTTCTTTCCTAGCCACATATCACATGTGAATATGTGTCTGTTCACATCACATTTTGTTGGAGTCACCTTGCATGTGCATTAGTGGGGATCACCTGCTGTATTGTTATGTCACATTATTTTCCCTTTTGCATGCAATGAAAAGCTTCTGATAGAACAACACTTGTTTACACCCAAATGTTCTCCATTTATTCACATGAAGGTCGAATTGGGGGCTGGGGAGGATCAATATGACTCTTCAGTTTGGATTTTGATGTTAAATGTGTATCTTTTCTCCTTAAAGCAACTGATGGTTTTATTCCCTCATATCGATTCTGATTAACTTTGCTGTTGAATCAGTTGATATCTTGTCACATCAAAACTTTACAGTAAAGCATAATAATGAGAATTCTCTTTTTTTCTTGTTTTTTTTTAAATAATGAGAATTCTTTAAAGAGTTCCAGCTGAGAAAAATATGTTTTCTCTGTCCCACATACTAACCTTTGTTATATGCCAATTTAAAAAGTTTTGTTTTCTAATATAATGAATGTAGTATCTCTTTGACTCAAAAATTAGTTTTATCACCAAACTTTTTAAAAGTTCTTCATATTTACCATGCTTAAAGCTTGTGTAAGCAGATTTAAAATTCTTTTAGATAGAGAAAAATTGCATAGGTTAAAGATAACTTCAGGTCAGATTAAAATCTAAACCAGACTACCTTCTCTGTAACTTGTTCTCTGGCTCTGAAATCCTGAATCATTACTCAGAAACAGACTTCCTGTGCTCTTTCGTTCGCTGTCTGATGTAACCAAGAATTCACAGTTAGCATGGTTAGCTTTCTGATATATTATTTTGTTTCTGAAAATAATGTAAGGAACATGGAAATGCCCATTTCCCTAATTATGGAAGTTTAATTGCTAATTAGTTTAAATCTTTATAACTGTCCTGCAGAGATGCCTTCCCCAAACTATTGCCTGATATCTGTACTCCTCACCTATGGAAAGGCAAGTATGTAAAGGTGTGTGATAAGTCAATTTGAAGAGTTTTCTTGTAACACTAAACTTAAGGACATTATCTATTATTTCATCCTTCTATTTGAGTGAAATGAAATCCTCCCCGATGTCAGCCCAGGAAGACTCTCCAGTTGAACTTCGAGATTTCCATTTGTCACAATTTGCCTTGGGTGATAGAGTTCTCAGAATTAAACTTAAGTCTTAATTGAAGTGACTATCTCATACCTAAAGACAAAAGTATATATAGATTCTTTGCTCTAAGTTTTCTTTTAGCTGTGCTTTAGTTGTCCTATTTCATAGAGGTTTTAACATTATAAAATGCTAGAAATAATTTTCAGAGTTAAGTATAAATAAATATAGTTCTTGACTGGAAAAATATATGTTTAGCTTTCATTTATTATATAAATACTGTCATGTAGGAGTTTGGCAAGTTGGGGTGTTACCGAACTTTTTATCCTGTATTCATGTGTTTGAAGTTCAATTATATAAACACCATGGAAAATGAAAATATTTAACAAATAGTTTCTTTGGTTACTATCTCAGTGTTTAATTATAACACTAAATACTCAAATGCATTGATCTGTTCTTAACCCAAGCATATCCCAAATACAAAGTAGTGTATTTCCTCTCTCTCTCAGTTTATCTTTTCCCAAAAGATATTCCTTATAGAGGACAGACTGAAAAAGTGGAATCATCCAAATATTCATAAATAGAAGGGTTCCTAAATTGTGGTTTATTCAGATTTTGAATTTTACATAGCAGTTTAAAGAAATGAGGCTGATCTATATACTAATACAGACACATTACCAAATACTATTGATACATACAGAATGAAATTACAAAATATATACAGTTTGAAACACAAAAAATGTAAAATACTTTCTTCAAGGATATATTTATGAATATAAATTCTCAATAAAAATTTAGAAAGGGTATGTGCCAAATCCCTATCTAATTTCCTTCTCAGGGAAAGAATTGTGGTTATTTATGGACATTCAAAGGGACTTTTTTATTTCCTATAATTTTTCAATCTTTTTACAAATTTTTAAACTTACAATTTATATATTTTAAAATAATATATGAAAGTGCCAAACATGAGTAGCCTTAATTATATCTCTAGCTTTAAAAACTTCTTTAATGTCCTAGGTGGATTCTGTGCTTTGCTGACACAATTCTAGGACATTGAGAAAGAGGAAACGATCATTTACCCAAAAAAACAAAAAAACTTCTTTGACTATAAAATATTTCTTTTTATACTGATACCTCTTGTTCTTCTGTTGCCCTTCCTAACCCTTAAGAAATCATGGAAATTTTAAGATAACAGTACAATGATTATGGGTTGAGGCAAAACTAAACTGGACAAAAGTCAGCTTGGCAAATTGTCATATGCTGTTTTTGTATTTATTTCTTTCAACTTTAACACCCACAATTTATTAAGTGAGACAGTGGATAAAAGAGGAAGCTCAGAATCCTGTTTGGATACCGTTTAGGAAGGAAGCCAGGTCTTTATGGGGTACCCCCTTCCTCTTAGCCACTGGCCAGGAAAACCATCTTTCTGTTTAAAACCTATTCAATTTGAGAGAGGTGGGGTGACTTTGGGAAGGAAGGTGACCTCTCCCTTGTAAAGTGGAATGGCTCTGTTTCCCCCCCCCCCCGTGACTTATTCAACTCATCTCCACCACTGTTTATAAGAACACTTGTGCTGGATTCTTGTAGTGACAGCAATAGTCATTTAAAATATGGCTCAGATTTCATGCCCTCAAATTTCCTATGTTATTTCAGATGTTTGATCATTACAATCCCAAATGGAGCTTTTGGTCAGCTCAAGTGTTGCTCTGCCCTGTTGGAGTTAACAGATATGCTTCGAATAAGCCAGAAGTTTAAAAATGCATATACTACCACTCTGTATAATATAAGCATTGCTGCTATCAAATCTGAAAAGAAGATGCCATAATGGGAGCCAAGTCATTTCCAAAATGATACAGGGGATTTTTTCTTAGATGCCTCACACACTGGGGTCCACAGGTAGATTGGTATGTGGCATTGATGTGACATGCTTCGCTGAGAGATGCTATCAGAAGAAGTTGTTTATTTTGTAGGTTTATCAGCACATTGTTCTTTTGAAATGTTTTTGTATTTTGACCTCAACTTTAGCTGTGCTGATTAATTTAATTTGCATTGCACCTTGGCTGTGAATCACTGGTCATTTTTAGAAAACTCGTTCCTTTATTCATTTCTTTAAAATATTTCATAGTATTTATATAAAATAATATTTTATAAGGCAATATTTTACAAGGCAATGTTTTATAAAATATTGTATAAAATATTTTATAATATTTTTATAAAATAAAATACCATATTATAAATAAATAAAACATCTTATTTTATAACCTTTTTATTTTGGACTAATTCTAGGTTTACAGAAAACTTGCAAAGTGATACAGAGTTTCCATCTATCCTCACCTAGTTTCCTCTAATGTTAACATCTTACATTGACATGATGCATTTATCAAAACTAAAAAAAAAAAACTGACATTGTACATTACTGTTAACTAAACTCTGGTCTTTATTTGGATTTCACCAGTTTTTCCACTAATGTCCTTTTTCTGTTCCAGGATCCAACCCAGGGTACCGCATTGCATTTTATCATCTAATCTTAGTCTTCTGACTGTGGCAGTTTCCAAGTTTTTCCTTTTCCCCATGACCTTGGCAATCTTGAGTAGTACTTGCCAGAAATTTTGTAGAATATTCATCATTTTTTAACAAATAAAAATGTTTAACCTCTGGGATTTTTGAATGAAAACCCTGGTAGGCTTAGTAATCATTTGTACCACTAATTTTCCTCTCGTATATCAGTTTCAGCCTGGTGATTGTTACTTTATCTTCTTATCAGTTATAGCAGCACTCTAGAATTAAAAGTTGATTTATGATTTAATATTTACATAGTTTTAATATTTGCTTAATATTGGCTTCATCTGTTAATACGTTCTGCATTTTCAATTTTGTCAGCTCGTTCAGTTTAAATCCCATAGAAAGTCTGTATTTTATCTATTGTTTATGACAGATTCGAGACGGACAGACAAACTGTTACATGTTGAAGAATAAAGATTTAGAACAAGCTTTTAAAGGAGTTATCTACTTGGAGATGGACCTCATATATAATCCGGTAGGTCTAACTGGACATATGTCCCAGCTTCTCTCTATGGAAAGTAAAAGGTGACCAGCCTGGAGAGATTCAAATCAATGTAAAATGTTTCAGAATTTTTGCAGCTACAAAGAAAATAGTGTTTTAAAACCGAGCCAAGAAAAATCAGTGCTGGACAGTCTGGTATTAATCCTGTTGGACCAGTAGAAATGATGGTGTGTAATTCTCAATAAGTGTCAAGGGAAAAAAAAAATAAGAGGAAAATTAGGTTCTTAGCTATATTACCTTTAATCTTCTTCCAAGGCAACAGTTGGCTGTTGGACAGAGATATCTTCAAGCCTCTGACATGTTATTTAATTATTATAGTAGATGTCCTGCTACCCAACACTATCAAGACAGGTAGTTACTCAATTGAAAACTACAGTTAAAGGAGGATTTTTTTTAATGTATCTTAAACTTTTAGTTTAATATAAATAAAATACATAAATATACATTCACTTGCCAATTTTTAGGTGTGGGCCTAAAACCTTTTTTTAAATAGCATGGACATGTTATTTTTAGTTCTACAGCATATTCCTGGCATAAATACACCCGTAACATCTATGATTTCTAATTTCAGTTTCTTGAAAGTAGAGATATTTTTTTTAAAACACTCACAGAACAATCTGAATGTGGAATTCCTCCTGATTATTTTTCCATAAAATCATCACCTCAATAGCAGTATCTTTTTAGTCACTGACCTTTCTCAAGGCTTTCTAGAGCAACATCGATTTCAAGTCTTTTGATCTGTATTTCAATAATTTGTATAATTAATATAGAATTATAGTAATGGGTAAAATGGGCATAAATAGGTTTGCGAATTAGCAGTTGGCTCTAGATGGGCATACTATTCAAGTGCCAGGAGCAGAAATCCCTAGGCGTGCGCAGACATGGCTTACTTAGCTGTGAGCATTCCTTGTCATAGTATCAGCAGTAAGTTCTAGAAAGGGAAGGGAGAGCACAGGTTAATCCAGTTAGTGGGGTAAATGAATGTAGCATAATGGCGCTTTTACAATAATTAGAAGAATGGCTGCCATTTATTGGCCATCTACGATGGGCCAGGCTCTGATACTATTTCATTTCATCCCCGCAATAAGCCTGGTCCCTAGCTATCATGAATGCCATCTTATGATGAGCAAATGGAATTAAACAGGGGAGCTGATTTGCTGGTAAATGAGTGAGTCGGGATCCAGATCCAGATCTTTCTGACTTCTCAATTATCCCGATGCTGCATTGCTGATTGTTTACTATCTTTAAGAGATTATTCATAAAATCAATGGCAGGGAAGTTTTATATTTTATTCCTGGGAATGTTAGAACTCTGGGCACAGCCTCCAGTATGGGGTCTGTTGTTACTTCCTCTTTTTCCCCATTTCTTAACCTTTCCCTTCAAGGAGATCATATGTGTGTGTTGCACACAGATCACCCTTCATCTCCTCTTTTCTTCTGGCAGGTACTTGTATATAGACCATGCACACAGGTAAAACTTGAGTTTTAGGGGGAAAAACAGCCTTAAATTAAAAACTGTTAAGTAATGTTCTAGTTGTCGATCTGATGTAGAGGAGAAGGACTTGAATTTTGTTCTTTGAGGTTTTCCTCAGTTTAGTGATTTGAATAAACCATGAAATCTCTCTGACCCTCAGTTTATTCCCTAAAAGCTGGGCTAAAATGACTCATTTACTTATTTTTCTGGATCATTGAGAGGAAATGAGATTCTCTTTGGAAAAGATGTTTTTATAAGCTGGAAACTGATTTTCACATGCAAGGTATTACTGGCAAAGAGTAGTTCAAAACTTTGATGTGAAAGGAAGTTTTACTTTTTTAGAGACGTTGGTTTGAGGACTTCATGAGCCCCATCTCTGCAGTGGTTTAAAATATCTCTTTGATTTGCAACGTGGAAACAACACTCTGGAATCTCCAGTCTGACCTACCCGAGTGATGCTCCTGAAATGAGACTCCGGAGACCCATGCAGAGCTCCGGGTACCCACCATGTCTCCGCCACCCCCCAAACCCCTAACCCCGCGCCCTTAGGGTCAGAAGGGTCAGAGCTTCTCAGTCACTAGAAAAAGAAGAGAGTGAAGTCCATCTCAATGCTGCCCCTTTTAACACTGGTGTCTTTCTAGATCAAAGCAAGTATTCGGACCTTTACTCCCAGAGAAAAGCGCTTTGTTGAAGATAGCCGCAAGCTGTCCAAAAAGGTAGGTCAGTGCAGTAAACTGGCTTGTTGGTACGGTCAGCACCCAGCACCCGGAGTACTTACTGGTCATGACTTGGTTGCATCTCGCCCTCCTTCTCTGTTTTCCTCTCTCCCTCCTCCCTCTCCCCGCTTGTCTCCCCATCTCTCCACTCCTTCCTCTATCTCTCCTTCTCTCCCTAGACAAGGACTTCAGTTGGGCTCAGTAAGAAGGGAAAGACTCAGAACATAGCTATTGGATGCTGCAGAGGGTGTCAGCCCTCCATTCATACCCTGAACCATTTTGTAAACAAAAATTCTGAGCATCAAGCCATAAACCTTCTCTTGAACTTACTTGCCCCTCCTACCCTCCTTTAATCACAGCCATTTTAGTCTCCATCTTTCAGCATTTCAGGGAGGCATTCTGCCAGCGGAGTCCATCATGGAATTAACCCAGTTGATCTTTCGAGATGTCCAGCCTCAGATTCACCGATACCTGCCCCTACCACTTTTTTTTGCCTAAATTTGGATTGTGTTGGCATTTTACCTCCTGCTGAGTTAACTCTCACTCCCTCTGCCTGTTGCCCTTAATTCCTCTCTCATCAGTTCAACAAAAGGTGAAGATCAGGGCCAAGTAGAGGAAGTTTCACATTTTATTTTTTTTTTTAACATGACCTTTACAGTTCTTTTCAGAGCCCCTCCCTGTCCTATTCAGACACAGTTCAGGATTTCACTCTGTACTTACTGTCCCTCTTCAGTTGTGTAGCAAAGAACAAAGTGTCCCCTTTTTAAAGTGTTTATTACTTCCACCACTTCCTGTGGGGTGAGCAGCTGTGGATTACAGAAAGCAAGTTAAATATAAAGGCATCTTATCATCCTTTGGTTTCCCATGAACTTCTGGACACACTCGGGAAAGGCCTTAAACCTCTTCTGAAGGGGGCATCCAAATGTTTTGTTTTGGTCTGCGTAACATTGAGTGTAATATTTATTTTGTGTAATCTGAGTAAATGGCTTTATTATTGTTGTTATTATTGCCTTTTGCTCTGTTTACTTGAAAGTTAAAACCTGAGTTGAGGTAGGTGGCACAGCTGCTTTGCAAACAAATTGAAATGAATCTACCTACAACTGGGAGAAAAGACATTTCCTTTGCCAAACAGGACCTCCACGTTGGGTGGCTTTGGGATCTGAGAGCACCGGGGGTTTGGGGGCTGAGACCCTGGGGCATGTTAGGTTTCTCCCCAAGTTCCTCTCAGCACTAAGTGTCCCCAGATTTTTATAAAGTTGAAACTTGTGCTCATGACACAAATACTTAAAATCACTCAGTATGTGCCAGGCTCTCTTCTAAGCCCTTTAATTCTCTCCACAACCTACAAGGTTAGCACTCCTGTCAACCCCATTGAATAAGAGAGAGGTTAAGAAACTGGCCCAAGGTCACACAGCAAAGAGGTAGGAGAGCTGGATTTCCTTTCCAGAGCTTTACTTTCCTATAGAATAGACTTTTTCTTCTGGATTAGATGAGCTAGAGTACATGTACATTTCTACTGTAAATCTACCCATTTCCTTCCAAACTAAGCAACATAGTCCCTCATTCCATTCTGTCTCTCTCAAACACACACACACACATTTCACATGCCTGACTGCTGGTTTTTTGTTTTGTTTTTTGGCTGCGTTGGGTCTTTGTTGCTGTGTGCGGGCTTTCTCTAGTTGAGGCGAGTGGGGGCTACCCTTTGTTGTGGTGGGCGGGCTTCTCACTGGTGGCTTCTCTTGTCGCGGAGCACGGGCTCTAGGTGCGTGGGTTTCAGTAGTTGCAGCACGCAGGCTCAGTAGTTGTGGCACGTGGACTCTAGGATGCTCAGGCTTTTGTAGTTGTGGCACGTGGGCTCAGTAGTTGTGGCTCACAGACTCTAGAGCACAGGCTCAGTAGTTGTGGTGCATGGGCTTAGTTGCTCCACGGCATGGGGGATCTTCCCAGACCAGGGATCAAACCCGTGTTCCCTGCATTGGCAGGTGGATTCTTAACCACTGCGCCATCAGGGAAGTCCCCTGACTGCTGTATTTTTTACCAGCTCAGTTTTGTGCTGAACATTATTGAAACAGCCTATTCTCCTTCAAAGGAGCTATAAAATGCATTGGATTTTCTTTTCCTCCCAGGATGATCATAGTTTAAAAATGAACTTTAGAGAAAGTATTAGGACTCTTCATTTTTACTGTTTTGTTCATTGGCAGTTATACAGAATATAATTTAAATGACCAAGCTGTCTGATCTAAAGAGAATATTTGGAGTGTTTAAACCTAGTTCTCTGTTTTCCATTTTTTTAATCAGATCTTATCAAGAGATGTAGACCGAGTGAAAAGACTCACCATGACAGTCTGGAATATAGCACAGTTCCTTACAAGCTGCTTCCAGTGGGAATCCACATTGAGAAGTACAGTAGCATTCGTGGTAAGCTTCCTTTTTTATGTTCAACTTATTTGCTTCTGAGTCCCAAGTCCAAATGCAGATGGGTTTTATTTTACTTACATGAAACAATATGAGGCACATTCAACATAGCTGAAGTTTACACTGGTAAGGAAACTTTAAAAAAAAGGATAGTCATTCATCTTTCTAAAATATATTATGACATAGGAGATTATGTAGGAGGTGTCTTTCCAAGACCATACTTGTCAGATTTACCCTTGGAAATCCCTTCAATTACCCAAATCATACTTATATACCATCTCTTGATAAGGTAAAGAGAGCCAACGTTCTATGCATTTTTAAATGTTTTTGTGGTGGTTATTATAAACCATTCGTATAGTACCCACAATGTGTTTGTCTCCTTCTGCACTCATGAGGGCCAGTGTTTTCTGAAAAATGGCAGCTGAAAAATCACATAACTAAATGAAGACTAAATCGTTCTAATTTATGTTTTAAGTAAATCATTGGCAAACTTCGGTATAAAAAAAACATTTGTTCAGATCAAACCTCTTGAGACGTAACTGATTACTCCACATTACAGGTTGACTCAACACCACAAAGGAGAACCACTGTCTGTGGAATACATTCTTATAATAATAGTTGGCCTTTCCTTATGAGCATAATAAAATCACGGAATCTCAGAACTGCATGAGATCTTAAAACCACCTAGGTCAACCAGAGAGTCCAAGAATCTTGTAAGGACTTGAAAGTTAGCATAATGTCCTCACTTTACATCTCTGGGCATCCTCCCTCATCTCTAAAGGCACTTGTCATTGATCAGATTGGTAGCGTCAGGCACGGGAGGAGAAACCAATTTGCTCGACTGCTAATCTTGTGCCTTTTGTATTATGCCATTAACTTCTGCACTGTGCAAAGATCACAGTAGGACCTAATACGATGTGTGAGTGGTTGAGTCATGATCACGGCTCTTTTGTCTTCTGGTTTCTATCATCCATGCTCTCTCTTACCCACCAGGCTTATCCACATTAAAAAAAAAAAAAAAAATCAGTTCCAGAGGTCAGTGGGTTGGAGGTCACTCCCACCTTTATTATGCAAGCTGTATACTGGCTCCATAAGAGGCTTTTTCTTAGCCATTTTAGCACTTTGTTTTATCTTTAGTTAATGTTAGTTTTTCATTGGTTCAGGAGGTAGAAGCCCTGTGATGGCTGCAGCCTTGGCGTTTAATATACTTTTTCTTTGTTTTAAAGTTGCTGGAACAATTGGGCTTGATAACAAAATTAAGAAGGATTTTATTAATCCCTGTCTGCCTTTGACTTGGCACTGATTTATCCACTTCCCTTTCTCACATTCTCCTCAGCTGGGGGCTTCGTATGTTGGGTTCCTCTTCAGCCTCCCTGCCTCTGTTTCCCACCTGAATCCTCTCTACAAACTTTCCGGGGAATGTTCTGTGTGATTCTGGGCAAACGAGGCAAGTCAACATGATTGGTGGCTTCTTCCAGTCAGCAACCCCGGCCAGTCCCTTGGAGGAAGAAGGATTTCCTCTTTCTTGAGCTTAGTTTCTGGCACTGAGATTTTTAGAAAAACAGAGATCTGTTGCACTGGATTATGTAGGGGGATGACAGAAATGATTAATGGGCTGTCAGCCTGATCTGAAGAAAGATTACAACAATGAATAGAAATAAGTTGTTTCATAGAGGGGGCTTCTAATCGGGAAGGGAGCCTTGGCATTGGGGCCACTTCTGCATGGCCTGGGACCTGAGTGGACCCTCCTTGCTGACGCCGCACTGCACAGCCCTCTGCCAGGCTGGCTGCCAGAGGCAGGCTAGCACATCCTCCTTTAAAATCCCTAAGGCCCAAGGAATGAAAGATAGAGGAGTGCTCTTCTTGCTGGTGTGCCAAAATGTAATTTTGCAAGGGTACCTGAGTTTATGAGACGGTGGGAGGCCCCACTGCAGGTGTGGATGGGGGACACCTGTGCATCCGTTCTTTCTCTCTCTAGGTTGTCCTGAAGGTACTGAAATAAAGACAGCTTCATTCAGATACACTTAGTTTTCTGCTTTCATTTGAAACTCTACTTTTGAATGTTTATCTCACATTTACTTTGACCAGCCATGGTGGATCTCAGAGATACTGCAGATGTAGAGACGTAGGTATCTCCCCTCCCTAAGCTGATGATGTGTCATTTCATTAGAGAATGTTTTTGTTGCTACCATCATGATGGTCACTCCAAAACTATTTCTGCTCTTAAAGCGAGAACATATAAAGAAAATACATTTTAGGGTAAAATAAAAAATGCATTGTAGCCTCCCTTATTTTCTTTAATAAGATCATGGGTAGCCAAGCCTTCATATTTTTCAGAAAACATTTTTGCTTTCATGGCTCTTGCTCACAGACTTAACGCTAGCTGCTTGTGGAGTGCTGATGGGTGATTCCAAGCCTGTGGGCTGCCACTGGCTGTGCCCCTGACTGTGTAGGACTCTGTTCAGGGTTGTCTTTCTGAAGAATGTTGGATCCTTGGGTGACCTGGGCCAGAGAGGGAGGAACGGGGAGACTGTGATGCTGAAGCCTGGCTTCGCTCCCTCACTCCACTACTGAGAACACTGTGTTTGTCTTGGTGGTACAGTACACACTGATGTTCTCCTATGATCTACTGAGGACAGAATGCTGCTCCGGGTCTTTATTCATCCATGTGGTACTTTGTTCATGCTTCGTCCACTTGCCTTGGCATTTCAGGGGCAGAGCAATTTCGTGCTGGTCTGAAGCAAGGTCTTAAGCCAAGAATTTATTAAACAATAGGACTGCATGTGAAGGCCTTTCTCTATTAGAAATTAGGATCAGTGCTCTTTGAGGGTTCACTGCACAGGTGTGAAAAGAACCGTTTTGGCTAAACCCGTCTCCATTGGGGCTTTTCCTTCCCCTAGAGGTACAGCACCACAAGCTAAGGGCAGAAACATAGGAATTTTTCACTTCTGTTTTGTCAGGTAACATGAAATTGCTTTACTAACATCATGTTCATGTTTCTATTTTCAGTTGATACAAAGCAGGAATGTTATAGGATCATGTTTAGTATATTCTGGTTGTTAATCTTAAGACTTTATGAAAGCAAGCCATACATTTTCTAAGGGATCCTGTGGATGTATGTATGAATATATCGTATCTTGTTGAAAGCAGGAGTTAAAGGAAAGCATCCTCTTAAGATCTAGGTCCTGTGGTGTCCGGTCAGAAGTGGATGAACAAACATGAGAAAATTTATCTTGCTAGACTGTCTAAGCATTAACCTCCCCCACCAGAGGATTAATCCCCTCTCCACTTAACGTGGGTGGTTGTTCTCCCAATACTAAGAGAAGAAAGTTATCTTCCATTTCCTGACACCTGCCACGTGACTGTTACTATATACTGTTTAATTCATTGTTATTGTAAGAAATTAAAAGTGGACTATTATTGAAGTATAGTTGATTTACAATGTTGTATTAGTTTCAGGTGTACAACCAAGTGATTCAGTTATACATATATATATGTCTATTCTTTTTCATATTCTTTTCTATTATAGGTTATTACAAGTTATTGAATATAGTTCCCTGTGCTATACAGTAGGTCACTGAATGTGGACTTGTTTAGAGTAGTCAGATTCCAAATCATACTTCTATAGGCTTAATTTTTTTTAACATCTTTATTGGAGTATAATTGCTTTACATGGTGTGTTAGTTTCTGCTTTAGAACAAAGGGAATCAGCTATACATATACACATGTCCCCATATCTCCTCCCTCTTGCGTCTCCCTCCCACCCTCCCTATCCCACCCCCTAGGTGGTCACAAAGCACCGAGCTGATCTCCCTGTGCTATGCGGCTCCTTCCCACTAGCTATCTATTTTACGTTTGGTAGTGTATATATGTCCATGCCACTCTCTCACTTCATCCCAGCTTACCCTTCCCCCTCCCCGTGTCATTACCTCTTTTGAGTCTTTTTCCTTCCTCTAAGTTTTCTAGATTTTTTTTTAATGTGTTTTCTCAGCTTTACTTGCTTTAAGCTAAAGATAATTGTTTTTCACTCAAAAGTTCACATTCTCAGTTTTTCCAATTGAAAGATAAATGAATATAAGATATCAACTTATGGACAGAGGCCTATAACTGAAACATCATGCCTAGAAGAAGCGCATCTGTATATTTCCCTATGAATGGATTTGTAAATATACGTGGTATTTTGTATACATGCCCGTGGTCATTCCCAGTCACAGGCTTTGAACTCTAGGGATAATTAATGGCTTTTGTTGTTTCAGTGATTACTATGTGTCAGGTACTGTCCTAAAGCACGTTATAAGTGTTCATTCATTTAATTCTCATAACAAGCTGCTGACGTAGATGCCAGGATCAGTATTTCCTTCTTTGTACAAATAAGAAAAATAAGCCCATAGAAGTTAAATAAAGGTTAAAGTGTCAGAGCTCATATGCTTTTAAGAGACAGAGCTGAGATTTAAACCCAGACCATCAGGATTTAGAGTCCATGCATGTAAACATTGGGCTACACTGCCTGTCATTGACGCCCAGGATTCAGTGATCACGATCCTTGTATTTAGATAGATATAATGGCTCTAGGGACAACCATATGAGTCATTTCAGATATGTATAATATCTAGATGTTATAAATGGAAGTTAAGCCTATTCCAAGATGCTTTGGGAGAAAGAAATCCTTATTATATGGGTAAGAATAATTCTCAGACATAGTCATTATATTCACAAGAGATGGAGTAAAATTAAAGAAGTGAAAGGTAGAAATGTCTCTGGCATCTTTGGGGAACAGCCCAGACCGTGGGAATCACATGCTTATGACATCCGTGGAATTCAGCTTGATGGTCTGGAAAACCTCAGTGCTTGGTTCTAGGCTAAGCCCCAAATTGAGGTCTGAGTTATCTTTTCCCTCTTTTGGAGGAAGCTCTTAGATGATGTTGAAGGGCTTTCAAGGGGAGAGTGAAGAGTGAAAACAACTAAAGGAAGGAGCCATGGAAGGAATCTGCAGTTTTCAGATC